AGAATAATGAATCTCAAAGAAACTGTCAACAAGATATGAAAAATAAACTTAAAAACTTAAGAAGTAAACAACGTTGATAATTAAAGTAACAATTTACGGTCGTTTATAATGAGTAACGTATAACTTTTCGCCCTAAGTAAAACCTTGTAATCTGCTTGTTTAATGGTATTTTTTTATTTAGACACAAAAATTTCTCCTCTCTTTATCAATTCTCTCCACTCACCCTTCCACTCTTCCTACGTCTCTCCCCTATCTCCTACCCCTTTAATTTCCCAAATCCACTTCCTTGATATCCGGTAGCTCCGGTACCAGTTTGTTCTAATTTGGATACTGTGGATGGTGTGTATTTAAAAAGAACCATTTTTCATCTCAAATACGGCATACCTGCAACTGATATCCCTGTAGAAAAAGGTATTTTTATAAACGCGTGCTTTTGCTTCAAAGTAATAGTCAAATCAGGAATTCATCAAATTACCAAATTCATCAAATTTTCAATTACTCTATCTTAAAATACAATACTGAGCTTTTCGTCATTTTGGACAAGAGAATTATCAAACGAGGGCGCAGCAATCTTCCGTAAGAAATTAATCTGTTTTATTATGTTTTCCATAATTTTTAGCGCTAAGTAGACACGTATCTCAAAGTCACTTTATCTATCATGAAGTACAGAATATTCAAAAGCTACACTGGAAAAATTGTCTCTTGAATCCAGAACCTAAACTCTTAAACATTTTAACAAGAAAAAAGACTCTACACTCAATCCTAGTTTTACTTCAAACGCAAGGAATTCCGCTTAGATTGATATGCTGGACTCTCGATCCAAGCAAAAAGTCCGTTTTTCTTGTCGAATTTTTTAAGAGTCTGAACTCCGGATCCAAGAGACTGTTTTCCAGTGAAATTTGGGAGATTTTAATACTCAAATTTAAGATAAATTTTTATTTCTATCAAATTGTATACATTCCAAGTGCTGAAAATTCGAACATTCTTTTTTGAAAGCATGTAACACTTCGTAGGTATTCAACATTTGAGTATTTTTCTAGGTATTTGGCGAAATGCTTGATTTGGACCGCATTTTGACAAAAAGGAACCAAGAGCATTCGATAAGATTCCGCAACTTTTTTTTACAAATTTAAGATTATGCAAATATAAACCGATCATCAAGCATATTTGGATTGCATTTTGCAAAAAGAAACCACTAGCATTGCAATGATGCTAAGATTGTGAAACTTCATCTTTTGCAAAAAAATTGCGGAAATCGTGAAAAACTATGAAATTTAGATGGTAATTTTTGTCTTAAATTTACAGTTTTTAGCGAGTAAAATAGAAACTATGAATGGATAATCGGGGTTTTCCTCCAAGACAAAAGAAGTTGCACAATCTTCGCAACATTGCAATGCTAGTGGTTCCTTTTTGCAAAATGTAATCCATTTTATCTTTATTCCCAATAATCTATAATTTCAAGGCAAAAATTACGTTTACAAATTTAATTTATTGCATGATGTAGCAATTGCATTGCAAAGAATGTAAGTTGCACAATCTTAGCAACATAAGATTGCTCTTGGTCCCTTATTTTTGCAAAATGCAGTCCATTTGTCCATTAGTCTGAGACTTGCACGCTCGGTTTATTTTTTTCATTTTTTTTTTCATTTTTTTTTGATGAGGGGAAAAATTCGCTACTATTCGGTTTATTTTTAAATACGATATATTTTTATTGATAGTCACTCGGCGTTTGATCGGGTGGGTTTTGGCTGTTCGACCATAGCTTCGGCTCGGCGTATTCCGCTCGAAGAATCGTTTAGGGTTGGACGAGTCAGGAGTCAAAAGGCAATTTCATTAGGTTCCTAAACGGAAGAACCAGGAGCGGCAGTGAAAGAAGATAAAAAGGGAGCAACAAAACCGCATCCCGCTGGCGCAGAATGACTTCCATTAGGAGCGGACCCACCCTCGCCCGCCTCAAAAGGCCGGCCCCCAACCCGAGCAAATTCGCTGCTGATAAAGTGATTCGGAGATCTTCACGTAATTTATCATTCTAATTAATGACGTCATTCAAGAGCGCAGCGTTGTCGAGTCCGTAGCCTCGGGTATACCGGTCAAATTCCTCGAGCTCGGCTCCAGACTAGCCAATCGAATCCAGTTATGAATATTTGGATGGCATATAGCGAAAAGGAACCAGCGCGCACGGAAAAAATTAAATTGCTGATTAAAATTTAACGATTCAATTGCTACAAAAAGGGACTGCAATTTTTCAACGTAGATTTTACAACAAAAAAATGCTATTTTAACCACTATTGTAAGGAAATTTAACCACGAGAATGGTTAAAGTAGCATTTTTTTGTTGTAAAATCTACACTGAAACATAATTGCAGTCACTTTTTTTGGCAATTAAATTAAATCAGCAATTTAATTTTTTCCGTGGGATTACAGTGTTTCTAAAATCGTGAAACTTCTTCTTTTCTTTTAAAAATATTTAATACATGTACAATATCAACATTTACACAATTATTTACCTTTAAAATTAACGATTTCTCAGCGGGAAGCAAAAACTGTTTATTCTGGGAGGTTTTCTTTAGATAATTATGAAGAGGCTGACGTTTTTACAACACGTCAGTTGCGCTGGTTTCTTTTTGCTAACTGCGATCCATTTCAGGGACTCCTAATTTTGACGAAAGAAACGGTAGAAGTTGATTTTCGGTATCGGTACCACGACTTCTATTCTTTCTTAATACTGGTGATGAGCGAGTGAGCGTTTTTCTTTTTGCTTAAAGACGACTGATGAATGATAGATTTAAGCAGTTTGGAAGACGAGTTTGTCAAAGAAGCCTTGTTTTTTGGCCAGATTGCTCAACTGATCGTTTACCAATCGCGAGTCGAGGCAAAAATCAATACTCATTCCAGAAAAACTTCGCGTTGCGTGTTGGGTCCTTGTCTAATATATGACAATTTCTTAAACTTACTCATGCCGTTGTAGGTCTATTTCTTTCATGGTTGTAGTTAGAAGGATTGGGACGGGTTTTGTCTAAGAATAATGGTTTAGTTATTTTCGTTTGATGGCATTTCTTACAATTCACACATCTTCAATTACACATTTTTTATCTGACAGTTTTTGCGTATGGAATCAGCCGATGAACAACTAGAAGCCATACCTATAAGTCCACGCTTAAACCCCAAACTAGCAGTTAAGAGATACGGAAAAAGTTCGGCGATGCCTATACCCGTTTAAATTCTTTAAACTTGACAACAGCGATGAGTCATTGGAACCCTGGTCCGAGATAAATGCTGCCTAAATGGCAGAAAGGCTGCACCATAGCTTGAAACAGTCATTGGGCCAGCTATAATGCTGCCTTGCTAAAGAAGAACGCTGTATGAGCCTTCAAACGTTGCCAAGTTTCCACCGATAAAAACCGAATTTATTGGGGAAAATGCGAATATTATTTTCTAAAATTTTCAGACAATTTTGTGCGTAATTCAATCTAAAATATCTGAAAATTTACAGGACAAATATGCATGAATGTTGTTAAAAATACATGTTTTATCAAGAGAAATCTGGCAACTCTGGAACGTTCATAAGGCGTTCTTCCATAGCACGGCAGAATGTGTCCCAGTATCCCCTATTTCTGTAGTCAATTCGCACATTAAAAGTCCACTCCGAAAAGTGGCAACTATCTTGGGGATGGCTCCTTATCAGTGCCGCACAAGTGGGTGCTACTCCTCTTTGCTGGTTTATTTATCCTCGGATGCGCGTTATCTATGTTTTGAGGTTAGTTCGGCCCCTAATTGATTGAGTCCATTGTTTGCATTCCTATCTTCGGATTTATAGGCGCCGCCTGATCAAGCACCATTTGTTACTTCGTCCCCCTTTTCCGGCGATATCGCCAACTCTAGCGGCCGCACTCCGCAACGCGTATCCACGTAGTTTTAGTCTCCAATAAATTCAGCAAGAGATAAGACCGGAGTTATGCATGGTCCCGCCCGACGAATAAATACTGACTGCGTTGCGAGTTCAAAAGAAAGTTCTCTGCGAATATTCCTTTTTCTGTGTCTTCGCAAAAATAGTAGACCCTGAAACTTTCCTTCTCAAAAGCGGTTTCGGAATTGAATTTCTTCTCAGTTAGTCCTTGCTTTATTTTGCAGAGTGCGGGTCCCCAGGGCCGGATTTATCTACTTGCCGCCCATGGGATGGGCCGCCTGTATTTTGTCGCCGCCTCCTCATTCGTTTTGAAACATCAATAAAAACCACCAAGTGAACGTGCCAGCGGGGGAGGGGAGGGGTGCATAAGACGCGTTTACTCGTGTTGAACAAATTTTTTGGGAAAGCCCTGTCAACACTATTAGCAAAAGGTCACGGAACTTTGCGCGAAAGTCAAGTTCCGTAAACCTATCTCTAATGGACAAGGTCTTCCATTCATACGAACGGAACAAAACAATTATGAAAGAACAAACACACAATTTGGTCTAATGATTTTAACTTCCGCCGCCGCGCCGCGCAATGCGTGAAGTATTCGTGCAGTCTTGTAGGCGCTAATATGTGTTACATGCCGATTGCCGCGCCGAGGGCTTCTCCTTTTCATCTCAAGTCCTTGTCATCATTTCTCCCTAAGTCGCGCCGTTCCAAGCCAAATTGTGTGTTTGGTTTCTCTCTTAACTCGACTAATTAAAGGTGCTGTCTCTTGTATCACTGAAAGACGACAAAATTAGAAATTACTATACACTCAGGAAATGAAAGATTTTGTAGCCTTTTCTCGTTTGTAATTTTTTTTTATTCTAAATCCGATTTTTTTTATACCTACATTTAAAAAAATTGCAAACTTTGCCGCCCCCTACTAACCCACTTCCACCACTCCGCATCCATTCTTTCTCATTTGTCTATCGTTTTGTCTATCAATTTCAACGATCCGCTCACTGATCCATATATTTTCATCACATTTCTTGGATACTCTGAAAATGTAGTCCCGGCATGTTCTTCGAGAAATAAACCGCTCGTCTCTGCTTGTCTGTTTCAGCCGGGCGATTCTGAGCAACCCGGACGTGCTGCCGTCGACGCCGCTGCTGAACGTCTGGACGAACGACTTCTGGGGGACCCCGCTGAGCTCCCGCTCCTCGCACGGCTCCTACCGTCCCCTCTGCATGATGGCCTTCCGCCTCGACTACTCCTTCTGCGGCCTCAAGCCGGCCTGCTACCACATCACCAACGTGGCCCTCTACCTCCTCTCCATCGTCCTCGTCGCCCAGCTCGCCCGCGCCCTCCTCCCCCCCGGCCCCGCCAAACTCGCCGTCCTCTTCTTCACCGTCCACCCCATCCACACCGAGGCCGTCGCCGGCATCGTCGGCCGCGCCGATCTCCTCTCCTCCATCTTCTACCTCTTCTCCCTCCTCAGCTACCTCAAGCACATCAAGTACAGAAACAGGACTGCCCGACACGGTGACCTCTACTGCGCTCACAACTCCAAACAACGTGCCAGAGTCGCCTCGAAACGCAATGGAAAATCCCATTGTAACGGTACGCTGATTTACAGTAATGCTAACAACCACGTCGATGAAACCTCAAAACGCAACGGAAAAAGCCATTCTACTGCTGTAACGTCCGCGTATGTAAATGGCGGTAGCCACATCAGTGACGTCACGCAAGTATCAAAACGAAAAGGCCATTATAACGGCGTGACGTTTAGTAATGGTACTAACCACATCGGTGAAATCTCAAAACGCAACGGGAAGGTTCATAGTGATGGTGCCACGCAGACGTATAGTAATGGTAGTGACGTCACGCAAACATCAAAGAACCATTGCAATAGGACGGTGCTCCTACACGGGGCGTCAATACATTGTAATGGTGATGCGCTGCACGAACACAGCCCAAAAGAGTATTCTAATGGAGATGTAAAGCCAAAAACATACTGGAACGGTTCTTTGCATTCGCAGAGTCTTGGCAACGGAACAAGCGGCGATACGGAACTGAGAGGCTTGAAGAACGGTTGCCATCAAGTCAACGGGAACGGAACGCCGAACGGATTGATCTGCGGTTCGATGCACAACGGTTCTGCGTACGGGGATTTTAAGAGTTTCTGCGGTCGGAACGGGTTCTGCAACGGTTTGAACGGGTTCTCGCGCAAGTCCAAGCAGTTCTCCGTGCGGTTGAAAGTGCTCGAGTTCCTCGTGAAGCTGAGCGTCAGTTTTTCGAGCTGCGGTATCAGGAAAAGTGTCGGGAGTGTCTTGGGGCGGTTGACCGGCGCCGAGTTTCAGGAGCGCCGCGATCACGTTTGTCAGTGGGGGTCGCTCGCGCTGACGGTGTTGTTCGCGAGCGCCGCCATGATCAGCAAGGAGACCGGGGTCACGGTCTTGGCCGTCTGCGCTGTCTTGGATCTCATCCACTCGAGGAGGACTCTGTCGTTTAAGGTGAGTGTTCCCACTTTGGCTCAAATTATTTTTAATTGTCACGATGTGGTAAGCGTTCAAGTAGTTTCGATATCGAGGACCGAGGAGGATTGTTAGGATAAATGACGTGCTTGGAAGACAAAGCGCACAAGTACAGTTTTCGCTATTTCGAGAAATCAGTGTTTCGAAATTACATGGATCCTTATGGTGAAAAATATGTTCAAACTGACTTTTTGAAGCTTGAAAATTGGAATTCGAGAGCGAAATTTCATAGAATATGCACTAAGACTAGTTTCACTTCATATCAGTAATATCTCAATTTTTTCAACAACTGCACTTGTGCGCCTAGTCCTCCAAGCTCCGCAAATTTCGGTGAATTTTCTGCTTAGTACGAAGCAAATTCCTTAAAATCTTCGAAAAAATCCGCACGAACGTTCTCATGTAAAAAGTTAAATTGCCCAGTTTTTGGCAATAGCTGACCAACCACTTTATCAGTTCAAAAAATCCTGCACGGAATGTACAATCCATCAAAGAAAATACAAGTGCAATCGTCACGAAATTTCCGAATAAAATCATACCTTACAAAATCGCACACACCTAAAAAGACTTTCCCGCGTGCATTTGAGCATTCGGTTTCTCTATCTGGCGGTGCGAATCCGTACCATCGGTGTCCTTTCTATGAGTAGTCCTCGGTGCATGACTGTCGCCTCGCCGAGTCAGGTGATGAAGCATAGTGTCTGTCAGCCGCTAAATCAAGTGTCTTATCGCTGCGGAGTCGCGGACACAAGCGACGAAACCGGCGGGCTTTGATTAATGTACCGAGGAGCGAAACCCAATCGGGCACGCATGCTGTGAGCATTGCAAAAAGCCACCTTATTCACAGTCGTCCGGGGTGTTCGCGTCTCATGCAAAGGAAAATAAGAGGGGGAAAAACAGACTCTTGCCGTTTTAGACCGTGTAAGTTTTCTTCGACAGGAAAGAGTTATGGTCTTGTTTTGTTTCGCTTATCATTTTTATCCCGAACGAGTGCCCCTGCCCGCTACGCAGTCCGACCCTCCTCTGGGCGCTACATCGTCACCTTCCGGCCAAAGTATCGCAAGCGCCATGCGACGGTTAAACCTTTCCGCCACCATTTTATTTTTTTACAGAATAATTACTCGAAGAAACTGTCCAAAAATTTCACTGAATTTTCTTTGTTCCAACGACAAAATTTAGTGAAATTTTCAAGCATATTCAACCAACAGTTTCTCTGTAAAAAAATAAAATGGCGGCGGAAATTTTTATGCTTTTTTTGGCGCTTGTGATACTTTGGCCGGAAGGTGACGGACGTGCGGTGTCTCGGAGCCGCTTCGCGGCAATAAATGTGTGAGCTATAATCGGACTACATTTTGCAGCATAGAACTATAATTTCTGTCTCATCCGTGAAAGAACCTATCTGCATGGGGAAACAAATGACACTTACGTTGTTTCTAAAGTGAGTCTGAAATTACAGTTCCTTGTCGCAAAATACAGTCCAATCCGAAAAGAAGACAGTGAGCTCATCTGGCGATTATTAACCGTCGAGAACCCAGCAATTGGAATCGGAGTGGTAGATTTTTAGTTGTATGTAGTTTAGACCGAAAACGACCACTTTGGGTTATCATAATGATAATATCAATGATTATAATAATTATAGTACAGAGAAACAGCGACGTTTTTGTTCGGCAGTTGAAATACAATCCAATACAAATTTGAGCTTATGGTGCCCTGTGCATGAAAATTTTGCTGGGGTTAGTTCAGAAATGCCTTCCGAAAGTCGCAAATGTACCACCATTTTTTATGTTTTATAAAGAGACTAGATAAGCAACATTTTTCCCTGAAAATTTTTACGATTTTTTTTTCGCCCACCATTAAATGATTTTATTTTAAAATCGAAACGATCTGCGTCACCTAGAATTGATTATTAAATGAGAAGGAAAAATAAAATCTATTTGCGAGAATCACCACTGAATTAAGTCGAATTTAACCCCTATTTTCAGGTCCCTTTTACCCCGACTTTATCCGTATCATAACAATTTGTTGCACAGGAAGGTTTTATTAATTCATATTCAACAGGAATATTGTATCAGTAGGTCGGGACTGTGCTAAAAATTCCAGGAGTCCTCTTCATCCGAGACCAACTGTAATTCGTATTTCATGCGCGACCTAGTTTTTATTCACTTCCACTGGAACCAGGTGCTCCCTTCCCTTCTTTCAAATTAGATGAAACAGTGATCGCGCTAACACCACGAGGGCGAAAGCTGCCGCGCCAGGGAAGAATGCCGTATGAGCATTTGGACGTTGCTAAACGTCACCTTGAAATTTATTCATTTCTCAGAAAAGTTGTTAATATTTTTCATGAAAAGTTTCCGATACTCCAGATTAAATTGCGAATTGAAACAAGTTTAATATGCAAGGTGGGAGGGGAAATTTTCGCTTTAACGTAGTCTTCTGTAGATGTTTTTGAAAAGCACTAAAGTGCCTTTAGTTTTCTCAAAATCAACCCCTGAATTTCTTTTTTTAACTAGCCAGTATGTCTCTGCTTAGAGCGTTTGTTTAATGCAGAGGTGGGCTTTTTTGAAGCTCATACTGTCGCCTCCATTACAGCCTTAATAAAATGAAAAAAAAAAAAAAAAAAAAACCCTCCATATATTGAGTTCAGGAATTGAACCGGGAGCACGATCTTAGTTTTCGTGAAACAGAAATATTTTATTCATAAATGAGTCCTCTAGTATTCAAGCGATCCATTCTCAAAAAAATACCACCTCAAATAAGACAATCGGAACCAACTCAGATTGAAAATAGAGCTATGGCAAATGAAAGAACACGCGTTGATGACGGCGCAGAGATACAACTATACGTGCTTGGTGGATGTCCGCGTTGCGTCTGCAAAATTGAAGGCGCGATGGCGCCGTGAAATCGCAATGCTCCGCTCTAATGAGGTGTCGCTCAAATCCGAGAGAAAATTTAAAACACGACGACCGATAACGTCTCTCTTCCTCCTATTTTCGGTTGTGTTGATACTCGATTTTTATTCTGTTTTTCAATTTGAAGTTTAGTCCTTTTTTTTTACAGTGTATTTGTAGACTTATAAAAAAAAAAAAAAAAAAAAAAAAAAAAAAAACTCGTAGAAACTGGCCCAATGAGCATGTTTTCATCAAGCGTCAGCCCAAGTTGACCCGGCTTGGGCAACAGAGGCTTTTTTTGTGAGGTTTTACAATACAAATTGTCATTTCTTTCAAAAAATCATTATTTTGAAAGAAGAGCGCCTTTCGTACTTTGCCGGAAAAATAAGCGACATCTCAGATTGCACTGGAAAAAAAAAAAAAAACACATTGGATCGAGAGGCCAGACTCTTAAAAACATCGACAAGAAAAAATACTCTTGATTCAATCAGAATCTAGCTTAAATCATGAACCAATCCTCTTAATTTAAGCGGATTTCGTTTTGATTCAAGCAACACTCCGATTGAATCAAGAGTATTTTATCTTGTCAAAGTTTTCAAGAGCCTGGACTCTAGATCCAATGTGTTTTTTTTCCAGTGTGCTCTGCTGTTTCACTGCCGCAACATTCTACTCATCAACATTCCCTCCCAGAAAAAAAAACGTGTGTATTATCCGAGGGGGTTTGGCAACTCTCACATTTTCACGCGGTGTTTTTCCGTAGTACGGAGGTGAAAGAAATGCACTCACGTTGAGCGAGCCGAGGCCATCCGTCAAGCGGGGTCGGGAAGTGACTGAAATCGTCGCTCAACTGATGTAAAAGCGTATCTACACCCCTGAACACGCCTTATTCTCCGTATAAGTCCATGTTTTCTAGGGCTCACATGAAAATTAATTCTTCGCCGTTCCACTCTCCGCGCGACGAAATGACTGTCAGAAACCGATACGTTCAAACAGCGATCCTTCAAATCCCGCGCCAGGGCCCGACCTCGGAGCCGCGACAGCGATGCCCGCGCGTGTGGCGGACCCCGCGAGGAGTCCCGAAATTTCCCGGGGTTTCCCGAGGTTTCCCGGGCGATCCGGCTCCCGAGGACCAAGTTCGCGGCGTTGTTTCATTAAATTATTCATCACTCGTAAGCTGATTTGCCTGGATGCGCCGCGCGGCGTCTTGCTTTTCAGGCGTGGGATTGGGCGAGTTATTGCACCGCTGCTGCCATTTTGCAGGACCCGCTCTCCAGAGCTTTTCGAGGAGCTACGCTGCCTTGTTAAGAAAGAACGCCGTATGCGTTGGCAAGTGTTGCCAAATTGTGTATGTATAAGTCGCTTTTACGGCGAGCTAGGGTGCTCTGCGACGCCTACCCGCCACAGGAATCCGCCATGGTGGAGATCCCTAGGAAGCACTGGTAAAAGAAACACATTGGATCTAGAGTCCACACTCTTGAAAACATTGACAAGAAAAAGGACTCTTGATTCAATCAGATTTAAGCTTAAATCAAAAGGAAATCCGCTCAAATTAAGAGGCTTGGTTCTTGATTTAAGCTTAAATCTGATTGAATCAAGAGTATTTTTTCTTGTCGATGTTTTTAAGAGTCTGGACTCTAGAACCAATGTGTTTTTTTTTCCAGTGAGCTGGAATCTTTTCATCTCTTGACGGATGCCCTCTACCCACCGTTTTAGACCAGGAGGTGGCTGTTATTTTGGTGTCTAACTTGGAAATGGACGAATTTTTCAAAATTGACAGAACTTTTCATCCTGATTCCGAAAATTGAAGTCTACCCTGTCTAGGTCCGGGGCAGTCCGCCGCAACGGGGCTCTAAAGTCACCAAAAAGCATGAAACGGGGAATACCCCTAGTTTTATGGGTTTTTTTATGAAGGAGAAAAGTTGGACACCTGAATATTTTTTGTAAGTTAGCATTTATCCAGAGAGTAGCCAAAAAAAGTTTCAGCCTGATACGATTCGTGTTTTTGTTGGGATGACACTTTATCTCTCGCTCAATTGTTAAAAAGCGCTGGAAAGGGTAACACTGAGAACGCAGTTTCACCGATGGAGCACGCTCTAA